TATCTATCTATCTATCTATCTATCTATCTATCTATCTATCTATCTATCTATCTATCTATCTATCTATCTATCTATCTATCTATCTATCTATCTATCTATCTATCTATCTATCTATCTATTGTCATGAATTTTCAGTAAATGTTTTCTCAGGATTTCCAAGAACAAATATATATTATATATAACAATATGTATATTGTTTCTATCTATCTATCTATCTATCATCTCCATGAATTTTCAGTAAACGTTTTCTCAGGATTTCCGAGAACATATTATATATATTTGTACATATATATTTGTTCTCAGAAATCCTGAGAAAATGTTTACTGAAGATTCATACCAAAATATTCCCCTTTCTGGGGGATTGCCACTCCATTACTTTCTTCATAGCAAACCTGTTTTTATTTTTTATTTTTGTTTCTTGTGGTTTTTTTTTGTTTCAGTCTGTTGTTCTCAGAAAACTCTCTAAATACCTCCCTCCCCCTCCTACAAATGTATACAGTGTTTCATTTTGCAAAGCTCCTGGTCAACTGTACTACACAAGTTTAGTCTTGTAGCAAAGTGGCTGTTTTTCCATTTTTAGGATCAATATTTCAGCCCCTGTAGCCTGGATTATTTAAAAAAAAACGATGGGGCCAACCATTCTCTTTCAAGAAAAGCAAGATTTGTTTTTTCAATTTATGTGATCTGTTATAAATCTGGGGATATTTCTGAATGGGGACATGGGGAAAAATCATAATTTCTAAATCTTTTGTTCAAGGTAAGCAAGATTTGTCTTTTCAATGTATGTGATCTGTTATAAATCTAGGGATATTTCTGAATGGAGACATGGGGAAAAATCATAATTTCAAAACCTTTTCCCAAACATGGCACGGAGGAAGAGCAGACTATCTGCTATAACTGTGCCAAATGTGGTGCTAATCTGAAACCCAGTTTAAAAGTTTTGCTTTAAATACTGTATATCTGCAACACTCATTTGAATAAATTTTATGTATATTATTTATTTAAATGAGTATTGCAGACACAAACTTAACAAAAGTGCTTGTGTGTATGCATGCTGAACAAGTACAACAATTATATAAACAGAGCCCAAAACTGCATGCTATAATTTGTACACAGTTCTTTTCACAAGCAGCCAAGTAGGAGCTGCTTAAAGAAAGAAGGAAAAAATGCAAATGTATCTTTGAAGCCAAAGCAAGTTAGATCCACAACATAAAAGAAACAGCTCCAAGTGTTCAGCCTTTAAAGCCCACGTACTGTATATTATAGCATATTCCCATAGAACCAGAGAATGATATAACATCAGATCAGTGATGCTAACAGTTATTGAAGGAGTTATTGAAGGAGTAGTTTTAAGAATGGCAGTCTCCAGAGAGTTTCCATGCTGAAGCATAGTCCTAGTCCTAGTCCGTCTCTCTCCCCTTTATGGATTGCTGCCTTGTCGTGGCGAAGGGGCTTGAGTAGTTCAGAGAAGATATGGGCTATGCCATGCAGGGACACCCAAGACGGACAGGTCAAGGTGGAGAGTTCTGACTAAACACAATCCACCTGGAGCAGAA